CCTTTCTCTTGCACCTGCCTTCTGGCCATCCTAGTATGCCAATATCATACCTTTGGTTTACTTTTTAAACATCAATTGGCTGACCTGCAGGTTTCCTCTTTCTCTGCTATTATTTACTTGTGTGGCTTTCTCAACAAGCTCCAGCTGTTTCCTATACAGACAGCTCCTGTCCTGCAAGAAAAATGAGGCAGGGCTCTACAGGCAACTGTGCAAAGGAAGCAAACATTTCTTTCTTCTTTGTCCCTCACTCAAGAAAAGGCACTCCTGAGGATTCAGTTTCTGCAGGCTGAACCTTCAAAAAGGCCACTCAATGTTTACAAGAAGGATAGTGATGCCTTTAGCCTCAAATTCACATTAATTACTTCCTTCTGACCAAGAAAGCATCTCATTGAGGAACAAGGTAAATATCACGTATCTACTAATTTCCTTTTATAGTTTTCATTTTACATTATTAGCCCTCTGTCTCAGTTTTAAACTCCTCACACTTTACTCAAAAAGTTGTTTTCAGCCGACATTTTAGATTTCATGTGCTCCAGTCACTTACTGCTTTATCAAACTATGTCTCTAGTATAGAATCCACACACACAACAGTCTTAAGAGGATATAGGAAAACAGGGAACAGAAAAGTTTTTGAGGCCTTCAAAACTAAAGGACTTGGGCCTGTGTTACCTGAACTGAACCTCCAACACCTTCACTAGCAAAGACTCCATGACCCTCTTGCGCTATCAGTTTCAGTGTCTCAGCATGTCTACACTTATTTCTTTGTTTATTCTGTCTCCTTTAGTGCAATTTAAGCCACTGTTTTATCTCCCATCCATCACAGACACAGTAAGAATTCTGTGTTAAGAATTCAATTATTTCTTGCTGCAGAAGCCTGTGGTTTTGAAAATGGCCCTTTACACCTCCCATCAGGATCTGAACAGCTCTGAACTCCTCAGCTGCCCCTCACAGGTTGCACATTCCATACAGCTCTGAGACATCTTGCCATCCCTGTCCACCCAGCTTCCCCCTGCTCCGCTTCCAACATGTGGTGCTAAGAACTGGACACCCCATTCCAGCTGAGGCCTTGAAAACATGTTTTAAAGAGAAAGGGTTGTTTCTAAGTCCCACAGGATCTACTCCTGTTTATACGCTAGAAGATGACATTTTTTAAGATAGTCTGGGATTGTTGACTCATGTTTAATATGTGATGCTCAAGAACATCAGATCCTTTCCTAAACTGGCCAGGTTTCCAGCCCCACAACCTCAGCTGTGACACATCACTCCTACCTAACAGCACAAGCATTCCTCTTGAGCTGTGCCCTAATCTTTCTGATGTGCTAAGATCAATACTTTCCTCCATCCATGACAGGCCCTGTATGCAAGGACTCCCATTTTGGTGTAACCTGTGAGTGACAAGTTTTAAAAACATAATTGCTTTTCCATGCCATCCTCCCAGCTACCAGCTTCAGTCTCCTGTAGAACATAGCTGTGTAGTCCCACAGAAACATCTTCCACTTGTGTCCCAGAGCAGGCTTACTCCTGCACCCTGCCCATGCCCCTCTTTCTCCACTCTTCCTCTAGCAATCTTCCACCTGTCTGAAGTTACACTTGGAGAGCAAATGATGGGGCTTTCTTCTCTCCTCTCCCTGGGGAGCCTGGAGGGACAATTGCAAAAAGCAGGCTCAAACTATTGTGCCTCCTGGATGACTCTAAGAGTTTAGATCTTCCCTACCATAGCTGAACAGTGGTTTAAAAAAATCCCAGGCTTCTAGGTCTGGTTGTGATAAATAACCTTCAACAATTACTGCACCCACCTCTATTTGCTTGGAACATTCCTCCTGCACCAAACCACTGCAATTTCCAGTTTTAAAAATCCTCAAACTTTCCACAAACATCTTAAGAACTGCTTTCAGTCCTCCCCCATCTGTAGCTCGGAGCAAGGCTGGTGGTGAGTTGCACAGGATTTGGCAGCAAAAATTCACACTGCCAGTGTTGTACTGACAGTGCTGGGAGATGTATCACCCATCACTGTATCATTACAATACCTTCTCCAACATCAAAATGGGCTTTAGATGTGCTCCCAAGTGGCAGCCAGGGGAAGTGTTGCAGTGCCTGTTAACATATATGTGCATTAATGTGTATGTAATGAAAGCAGCCACCATGTGTGAAGCTTGAGTGTGGCAGCCAGGGGGAGGAGACTTAACAGCTATGCTAAGCCAAACACTCATTTTTGGGCTTAGTATCTCCCTTTTTTGGGAGGAAGAAGGGTAGACTCTGGGTTAATTCCCTGCCCATGTTTCAAAAGCAGTTAAAAAAACCCCAAACGAATAAACCACAATGAACTTTTACCTAAACTTTAATCATATTTATAATCTCACATAGCACTTGTTTCCCTAAAGCATGGCAAGTGGCACAGAGAGAGGAGGAATTTTGCATTCTCTGAAAATATCCCTGTGGAGAGGAAGGATGAAGAAATTGAGGGGATAGGAAGAAGGCAGTATTTATGAGTATCACTTAATGGCCAGGGCTATTGGACTCAAGCAAAAGACTTCACCCAGCATTACATGAGAAGAGAACACAGACCACAGCAGGATGACTGCAATGACAGGAAAGAGGGTGAGCTTTCACTTTGCAGCCAAGGACTGGGACATATAAAAGCAATGAGTATTCGTAAGTAAAGGAAAACTGGGATCACTAAGACCAAACCAATATCATGTTTTCTTCCAGCACCATGTAACCAAGATATCTTTGCTGGCCAGAATTGGCTTCCTGGGCTGTGTGAAGTGTAACTAAAGCTAACATTGTGGTTACACATCCATGCTCTGCTCTGACACCAGAACATCACAGCTGGCCCATTTGCTTCCTTCGGGGGAAGGCATGGAAAATTGTGTTGCAAATTTCTTTCCCCGCTGCCAGGGATGATCTGCAGTCCCCATCCAATCCTAGGGACACCTCAGAAAGCAGAGCAGGCAGGCAGCAATCTTCTCCCAGACACCTTGAAATTAAAGTGAAAATTATAATAGGGAAAAAATATATTAATAAATGGTGATGGAAGCCTGCTGTAGGACACAAGATGCTGAACTAAGTTTTAAAGCAAAACTAATCTGGAATTCTTCACCAGAATAAAGCCTGCAGCAAAGCATGCACATGGTATAAAATACCAAGGAACAAATCTTGACTCAATAAATATGTTGTCCTCATAGATTTCACCTTATCTGCATAAAGATCATAAAAAAACCACTGTCTTGCAAAACTGTCATGCAAAATATGCCCACTGGGGAACTAAGCATGCTTTTCTTCATTTACAAATGCTTTTAATTAACACTAACAATAGCTAATGATATTTAATCACCTGTCAAAAAAAACCATTGTCCCAGATGTCCTTGTAGATGAGAAAACTCTGAAAAGTAGACATAAAAATTTCTAAGACAAACAAGATCCTCCCTCAAGTCTGCTGCCTTCCCCTTCCAGAGAGGCAAAGGCAAATGTCCTTGTCCTTAGGAAATAGAACTTGAGGTGGCTAATCCAAGCAAGTTAGCTCAGGTTAAATCAGGAGTAAAGCCAAGCAAGGATCTGTGGTCTCTGAGGTAGCCTGCAGCCGATCTCAGATTGCTAGCCATGGTGCAGCTTTTCCCATCACGTAACTCATTAAATAACTCAGGCCCTGTCAGCTAAACACATCCCTGTCTCGTCACCACTGTGCTCACTGGTTGCTGCCAAAGGATGCAGAGAAGCAGGCACAGGCCTGAGGCTTAGCTAAGAGAGGAGAACACAAGAAATTACAGGATGTGATAGAAGTTGCTGGACATAAAACATAAAGGCAAAAGCAGCTAAAAATGCTATAGAGCATGCCCAGAAGGATTGCTGGAATTCACAAGTACTTATGGTAGGGATACATGAGCAATGGCCAAACATCACAGAGCTCTGAAGGAGGAGTATCAGGGTCTCTTGGGTGAGAACAACCCTGCAAGGCCAACACTGGCTAAGAAACTATATCAGTAACTCTGTGTAAGGTCCAAACTATGCTGGTAGCCTTGGGACCTTTGAATATGGACTTAGCAAAACCCAAAGCAATGCAAGGAAAAAGCAGGGGTACCTGTGAGGAGACAAGGGAAAGGAAAGAGGTGAATTCATGTGCAGGATGAATTTAACATGAGAAAGGTGAGAAAAGTGACCAGCCCCATGTAAGCAAGCTGCTGGTCAGCTTGGCTGGTCAAGCTCTAATCACCACAGTCCAGGGCATCTTCTCAGCTGTAGTCCTATTTTCTGTGGAGGTGTTTGCATCAAGGATGGAGCTCTCTATGCAGGCCCAGATTTGTCAGCCACTGTTTGTGTATGCAGGTACTGCTCAAGGTACTGCCCTTCTCCTCTGCTCTCTGGCAAAGCAGCTGAGTGGGTGCTCAGTGAACATTTGCATCTCTGGAATGAATGCTCAGCATCTCATCCTGGGCTGTGAAGCCAGGAACTACAGCAGCCTTGCATCTGGCAGATTATAAAGGTGTAATCCCTTTAGCCTTGAAGCCAATCCGATGGATTTATCTTCCCTTAACAATATGCTCCCATCTTACAAAATCTCCTTTCTGTCTCCATCCTTACTAAGCTGAAATTCCTTCGGAAAAAAACTTGTTTTAAAAGAAATTAATCAAACTGTGTAATTTTCATGCTTCTAAATCTTTCTGATTCTGAATTCTGCTAATGCTTTACAAAAAATATGCTGTCTTGTGGATTTTCAGTAATTTGCCATAACTTTAAAGTCCAGCCCAAAACTAACTCCACTGCCACGCAAATGACTTCTTTTTAGGTTATATATTTTGCCCTTTTTAAAACACAGTATTAACAGGTAAAAGTAGTACATCAATCACTCAGCACAGCAAGACTTCTCTTAATTACATACTTGCAACCTCTGCTCTATCTCTGGGCAGGTTCTCACTTCAATACTTGGGCAACTCATCTGACTTACAGCAGGAAATTGTTCATTTTATCTTTAAAGCCATTTTCACAGTTGTTTTTTTTTTTAGTCAGAAATAGAGAACGAGACACAAACATTAAATGCAGCAATTGAAACTAAAAATGAGTAATAACAAACAAAGGCCTCCCGGGCTCGAAATTTTGATACAGAAGCAGCATCCAATTTTACATTCAAGTTCCTTGAAGTTTGTTTCAAATCCGCAGTGCTACTGATTGAGAAAGCCCCAGGTACTCAAGACACAGACGCTGAAATCACAAAGCTCCCTTGCTGCTTTCATTCCTCTTCTCCATTATCAGAGTTTCTAGGAGAATCCATTGCTTCTCATTTTCTAGTTCCTTTCTTTTGCACATAACGCTGTAAAATTCTGCTTCGCCTAAACCCTTTACGTGAGTTTTTTGTTTGCCTGACCCATTTTTTTCCTGAGCTCTTCCTTCCTGTTTGACTGCTATATTCCTATTCATGAGAAAGACTCAGCTTGGAGGCACCGTGATGTTGGCTCTGCTGCTTGCCAGCAAGGCCTCAATATTCAGGGCCTTGGCCCCTGGAGATGAAAAGATGCAGCCACTCTGACATCTGTTTTGATACTGAGTTCATTACGGTGCAATTACACAATTTAGAGAGCAATGGAGATTCATTAATGATTTGTATTTCTACTTCTCTAAGGAAGACAAAATTGCAGAAATTGGTAATGGCAGGTAAGCTACTGTGATTATAACTCCAGCACAGATTGTTATAGGTTTAGGGAGGAAAAAGTAACTTATAAATAATTAGCTTCTTATCCGGAGTTTAATTGCATTAGATCAGTACTTCCTACTTCTAATTAGGTGCGGCTAATTCTTTCATTTTCATTGTGACCGGAAAGTAGATAATTTTTTTCATTGCCTCAGTTAAAAAAAAGAAATAGCAATTTTTATAATTCATCAACATAAGACATTGGTAAGCCAGGAATTAGAGGTTTTCCAAACTATTCTTGTACAAAACATTTGTTCTTGTGTAATCCAAAACATCATCTTTCATGTAATGAGCTGCAGATTTTGCTGTTTGATAGTTTTAACGATAAAGGTCTTACTACTAGTGCTTAAAGAGGAAAGGGAAGAGGAAAAGAAAGAGAAAGATGAAAATGGAAAAGAAAAATAATCAACCATATTACAAAGATAGTATGTTTATGGTGGAAATATAATTGTGGTGGCAATTTGAAAACAGAACCCTAGGGGCACTTCCACTGGTTCCCATAGCCACAGCTCAACGTTTATCTTAATTTTAAATTGGCAGATCCCTCAGTTCTGAGAGGGCGTGATGATTAAGGCAGTCATCATAACTGCTTCTGCTAGTGACAAACTAGATTGCTTCTGAAGAGATACAGGCAACAAATCATAGAATATAAGCCACCAAACCCAAAGGAGTATCCCACAGCCATTAGGAAGCTATTATGCAAAAACAACAAAACAAAGAAGTAACATTGTGTCTGGCTGGTGGAAATTCTTATCTCCACCAATCTGTGTGCCAAGTCTGACAAGATTCTAACTGAAGGGGAAAAAAGTCATCTTCAGAAAAACTGGATGGAAGAGAAAGGTTTCTGGTGTTTTTTAAATCTCTTCTTCCCATCCAAAACTGAAAGTATATTACATGCATAAATTAAATTCAGTATGCAAGTTATTACAGACATGCTTGTACTTTCCATAGCAAGATACTCATATCTGCAGGGGACAGCACACAGGGAGGCCTGACACGTGAACTTTACAATTAAATTCAGATTAACACTTATGAAGTCAGCTCTGTGAATGTAAGTTGTTTTGCTTTACAGCACAGTCATGAAACAGTCATTAGTAAGTGCTTGAGAACAGCATTTACTCTGGAGCTTTATTACGGGAAATGATTCATACCAATGGAAGAACTCCAACTGAATTATCTGCGTTTCTTTTGGGTTTTGTTTTTTTTTTTGGATTTTTTTGTTTGTTTATTGTGATTTCTTTTGGTGATGCAGTGGCAACAAAGGCAACAGCACATGTCCTGAGGAAGGGAAACTCTTCAGCCAGCCACTTCAAGGTACAACAGCAGGTAGAAAACAAGGAAAGTCAAACAATGTTTTCAGGACTATCACACTCTGCTTTGCTATGTACTGCAGGAGGTAGACAGAAAAGTATGGCCCACCTCTTTACATGTTTTTTTTCTGATCTGATTTGACTAGGATTGTTTTTTTTCCAAAAGCCGCATTTTTCTATGTGCCTGCTGAGAAGGACTGATTTTCCTGCAGGTTCTTCGACACTAAAATTTGGGAGCAGCATAAGAGCACTGTGATTTTCAAACCATGTGCACTTTGACTGTAACATAGGAAAAAGGTATTTATTATGAAACAGTTCAAAATCTACATCCTCACAATGTAGCAAAAGAGCAAAAGTTTGGTTAGGGTGCAGACTGTTAGTTCAAGCTGGTTCTCAAGGTTCACATGAAACTTCTGTATTAACAAAAGAAGCCAGGGTCCTGGTGGATCCCCTTCAAAGCACAACACACAGTCTGAGGTCAGTTAAAAAAATTACATTTTCTAATTTATGTCCATTAATGCTGGTCTGTAGCAGCTCTGGAACCAGCAGTCTCTAGTTGCCATTAGCAATGCTGCAATTACAGCATTGGCTCTACAAGTCTGTTTTCCTTGGTTCCCTGTTGCAGAGTAATAGGAAAACCTTCTATTGCCAACAGAGAACTGCAGTGTCAGGTTCGATGGATGTGCATCAAAACTTCTCTCCTTTGATGTAGGTAGAAGCCTGCCTGCTTGATATACAAACTGAAAAGATTTCTCCTATTTAAAGAGATGATTGCAGTGCTGAACTGTCTCCTCTCAGAGAGCCCCATCTTGCCAACTTTGAGGCCTGAGAAGCAGGTGATAGCGTTGGTTTCATTTTTCTCCTGCTGCCTTTGATGTTCCCCAGCTCATTCCTTGCCTGCACCTGAAGTTCCATTTTCAAAATTACTTGCAAGCGCTGCCACTCTTTCTCTTGCAAGCTGAAAAGACATCTTCTGCAGTGCTCATTCAGAGGAATAGAAAATCACATTTTACATCACCAGGCCATAATATATGCCTTGTTGCCATTCTTAATGTGAAAAAACAATCCTCTTGGTCAGTTTGCACATGGGTTCAATGATAACAGGGTCCAGAAAGACTTAATTCTTTCCTTTAAGTATGCAAGCCCCTGACTGCCAGCTTTAGAAATGCATTATAAAACCTGATCCCTTTGTTCACTATGCCTGTGACTCACATCAACTAGAAAAAAAATAGCTGAAAATGAAAGTTTGATGAAAAAGCCCACACTAAAACAATATATTCAAAGTGACAACAGTTTCAGTATTGCATTTCAGGTATCATATTTCAGTATTAAATATTAGTCATTAGTTTGCATGCCAGGGCCTGGCTGAGGGTGAAAAGCGATATATTTCAGCTTGTGTTACAGATGTGGTGGCTCAGAGTCACCAGCTTTTCAATTCTCCCAGCAGTTCCTGGGGGAGAAGACATAGCATTATGGTTATTACAAGGCCAAGATAATCCCTCTGCAAATCCAAATATACAGAGCATAGAGCCAGGCCTAAGCTCTGCTATGGAAGACCTGGTTTCCAGCTTTATTAAGCACAGGAGGAAGGTGTGCAGAGAGATGATCAGAAGATACCCTCAGCCAGGTTGTATTAATTGATTCTCCAGCACATGGAAGAAGCGATTCCATGTTGGACTTCAGATCAGTGTAATTTCTGCAAGACCTATTGCTATACTCAGACTTCCCCTCCATCCCCCCACCCAAGCTGATCCAAGGATAGTGTTTATCACCTGTAATCAAATTACAGAAGTTTCTAAGTGTATGCTGGACTTGTAAAAAGGTTTCAGATAGCAAACACACTTCAGAACAGGGTGGAGGAAGTTTTGCACATGCAGTTCAATGGGTACCCCTGAGAACATGTTTCATTTGGATTTGGGTGGTGTTACCTCCTTTTAGCAATCTTCAAAATTAAAAAAAAAAAACCATCCAAACTTCCCTGTGTATATTTAGAACACACTTAAAATGCATTGACTTAGAATAACTGTGTAGCATGCTTTTTGGTAAAAACTGTGCAGCATTTCCTCATGAGGAACTCCTAGGTGAAGAAATTCAGTCATTCAGTGCATAAACACTCACATACCAGGACCATCAAGCGCCTATATTGTGTTTGTGCCTATAAACTATCAGAGGACTCCTGAAGCAGCACAAAATTAAGATGCAGTATTGATTTTTTTGACAGAACTTTCCCAATATTTTAAGTAAAAATTGCTGCTGCATTTAACAACAGACTTAACCAAACATTTTCCAGTTTTCTTCTCTCCCCTCTCTACATGTAATCTGGTTTCAGCTGCAGGGTTTTGTGTTGCTTCAAACAAAAAATTGTAATCTTAGCATCACAAGACCTCTATGACTTGTTAAAAATAATCTGTTGTGAGTTATGACTATGCTAATTTTAGGAAAAAATCACCAATGTGCTTTTTAATATTTAAAGCAACTCTTTTATACTACCCTGTTCAGGCAGATACCACTCATATCCACCTTTGTTCGGGTGGTGTAAGCTGCACAGGTAAGAGCAGTACTGGGGTCAGAGAGGTATCAGGCAGATGCGCTCCCTCTTTCCAACTGCATCCCAGCCCATTTGCTACAGGAAGCCAACTATGTCTAAAGGGATAGCAACACTGATCTCTTCTTACCTAGCTGATTGCTCCGTGACTTGCCTGGTTTGGATTTCTGCAGGCAGCAGGGAGGATGAGGAATGAACAAGTGAAAAGCAAGTGCAGAATGTGTGGGCTCCTTCTCCAGAGGAGCAGAATGACAAGTGCTTCCCTTGAGGCAACACACACAAAGTGCAGAGTACACAAGGCCCACAGGTTGTTCTTCACCAATGTGCCTGAGGCTTTTTAACACTTACAGGACCAGCTGGGCCTTGAGCTGTCTTTTCTTGCAGTCTGTCAGGGAATGGATCCCTTGTTCCGTGCACCTTCAGCAACAAACCAAACCACACATAGCAACACAGGATGAGGTGGAACACTGGCAACAAAGCACATGGAAGCTGACAAGATTATATGACAAGAATGATACTGTATTATGAATGTAGGTGTGTAAATAATAAAGCACCATTGCCCCACACTTCAATGTGAGTATTCAAAGAACCATCCTCCAGAGTGCTTTCAGAGCAGCAGCTGAACTAGACTCTTGTTCCAGTGGCTCCAACAAAGTTTCTCTTTCTTCCTTTCTTAAATAAAATGCTGCTGAACTAGAGGAAGACTAGTCTGGAGAAACCAAAGCCAGCCTCTGTGATTACACACCTTAGGCTTACTTTGCCATTTTCACATCTCAGTGCATAATTGCTTTATTGTCTTCCCCTCTCTACAGATTGTACTGGAAGCATTGATCCACTACAGCATTAGTAACTACAGGGGAAATCAGGTACAAGCATATCTACCCACCCTCCCCCAAAATCATTCAAAAATAAATAATGCATCATAACCAGATCAACAAGATTGACATTTTTTATTTGTACTTAGCACATACAGGAAAGATCAAAGCAAATAATAAAAGATAGCATTTGTAAACAAATGTATTTCACAAAAAGTTATAAACTATCAAATTTGCTCTGCAAAAATTCACTATAGCCATTTATAAATGTGTATTTATCAAAATCAAGTTAAAAACTACTTCATTTTGAAAACATCCCAAATGAAGATTCATCCATTCCAACAACTTCAGAGAGACCACTGATGTAAGGTCTAACTAAAACAAATGCACGAGTGAAGATGGCACTGTGATTTTTGGTTTTAAGATAACAAAAAAAGTCTGCAAGTGATCAAAATACCAGCCAATCCAATTCAAAATCCTAGATCTGCAAAATATACATTCAACTTCACAAATGTCTAACTTAAAAAAAATAGAACTATTCCACTGGAATGTCCTCATTTTTAATGCACTGATTATATGTTGTGTTTCTGAGCCCACTCAGAGAAAAGTTACCAGTAGGTAGTTTTATGTAATTATAACGCTCACTTCCATAATCACATTAAAAATAAGATTACAGCAGCACCCTTTTAGCAAGGATTAATTTTTAACATTCTTGCCTTTATAGCAGCAAGTATGGTTTCGGGGAATGCTATCAATATAAGAAGTAAAAAAGATATACATACTCTGTGAAATTTATTACACTGTTCTTTCCCTATACTTGTCTTCAAAGTTAGGTAAGCACCTCTATTTTCTTCTGCAGAACACAAAACTAGAAACAAATGACATCCAAATGTATGACTGCCTCAGTAGGCTCCCTTTGTTGGTGGCCCACAAGCCAATTTGATTGCCAGTATGTTTTTTCCTCCCTCCAAGCTCCTCTTTGCATGCCACTAAAAACCAAAGTTCTCAGTCTATTAATTTGACTCAAAAGAAATGAGGTAATAAAAATAACTAAGGCACAAATGTCTGATCTTCAACAGCAGGCAGAGGGTCACAGATTTGAAACTAGGGTAGAATGAAAACACCCAGAAATATTTCTGGTCTCAGGGCACTGAAAATTCTTACCAGAATTCAAAAAAGGTTTTTCAAGATTTTTTTTTTTTTAACGAAGATATGGAAAGCACTTTTCCCAAGAATGTCCACAAACACTAAACAAGGATGGATGTACATACAAAGACACACACTTTATGCACAATACACTTTGAACATACTGCAGACAGACAAGGACCATGGAATGCAATGATGTCTAAGATGGCAGGTGAAATGAAGATGGCTCTTTTTCAGAGAGTCGTCATGAGTTTATCTTGGTACACCATGCTTTGGACTCCTCCTAAATTCTTCTGGTTCTGTTCCTGGATATACCGTAAAATGCTGTCCTCTCCACTTGTGGGGGGTTTCCAACAGGGCCTGTCATCATGATAGGGTGGCCTGTACCATTTGCACAGTTATTGGTTAGTGAGGAATGGAAGTCAACTTAGGAGTGCTACACAGTAACACGAGCTCATCCTGCAAGTGCTAAGCATGCACATGGAGCTACAGCACGGCAAGGACATGGGGACAGACCAATAGGTCTGATGCTGAAGCTGCTGAAGCAACTGGGAATCTTCTAGCTGATTTCAAAAGGCTTTCAACCAGAGCTCAGTCATTGAAAACCCTCTCTCATTGCAATGTTACAGACAAGCATAGTGCATCAATGCTACAGAATTCCAAACTGGGGGGGGAGGTGGGGAAGGAGGAGGAGACTACAGGAGAACTAAATGTGTACAACAAACAGGTAAAATAAAGCATATCATGCAAAATGCTGAGCTCATGAAAGTACATCCTTAAAGTGCAAAGGGTTAAGAAAGGCAATCCTATTATGAATGAAAATTGCTCCTCTGTAGTTGCTGCCATTCCTTTGGCACTGGCGCAGTTAATTAACACTAAAGCAACCTGTAATTTACAGAGTTGCATTTTCTTAAGAACACCCCCAGTCTACAGATAGTACAGGTAATGCTCTGAGACTTGCAAAAGTACTACAATGAAAAGATATTTTTCCTTTCTTGTTCATTACTTATTGCTGCTTAGAGATACTAACTTCAACCATTCCTACAGTGTCCCTGAATCATTGCAGCGGAGTGGGGAATAAATAAAACAACAATTTTGAACACTATGTAGGAAACCACAACATTTAACATTACCTTAATACCAAATTGAAGCTGCAATTATTATATATACGGAAGAAATTCTTTTCTGTGAGGGTGGTGAGGCACTGAAACAGGTTGCACAGAGAAGCTGTGGATGCTCCATTCCTGGAAGTGTTCAAAGCCAGGTTGGATGGGGCTTTGGGCCACCTGGTCTAGTGGAAGGTGTCCCTGGCCAAGGCAGGGGGTTGGAACCAGATGATCTTTAAGGTCTCTTCCAACCCAAGAAATTATATGATTCTGATAAGTTTTTTTATAGTAGCAGAAACACAGGCAAGGTTTAGATTTTACCTTTTTTTAGATATATTCTAAAGTTATATAAAGACAGCTGTTAATTGGAATTCTCTTTTCTGAAGGTTAAATATTAAGCTAACTGCAAACAATTTCAGTGAAAGAATCTGCAAACAATTTCAGTGAAAGAATTTTAGAATTTTACTAAAAAAACTGAGACACATATCCACATACTATTTCACAAATTATTCAACAAAAGCTCTATATTAACATGTAATACACAGGTAATTTCATTTCAGCCCATGCCTATTCCAGACTTTCATGCACAGCAGAAAGAATTTTATACATCTGTAAGCTGTGATCTCAAGTTCACAATCGAATTGAATAAGATTTTTCAAATCAAGCTGTCCAAGATCTTAAATATCCAGTTATTTCACTTTGACTCCAGCTTAGAATAACTTGAAACTTCCACTTTAACCACACATTTAAGTGCTTCTACCTGAATGGGACAAAAATTATGAGCACCTTTTCTACCAAGCTTCTATGACTGAGCTTTTAAGTATGGGTTGTGTTTTTTCAGCCATACAAGCCTCAGTATAAAAAAGCCATTGTTCATATTTCACTGACCTTAGTCTTTGCCCAGGCAGTGGAGGGGTTGAAGGGGGAGGTTGTCTACACACACTACAATACATTATTGTGCTTATTTCAATATCACTCTGCTCCAGGGTGAACTGTTTGGCTTTAAAATGTCACGGACTGGTATCGTAAGTGATGAAATCTTTAGAAAAATTTCAGCAAAACCTCAAATGATTTATAAAATCATTAGGCTCTCTTGGCAGCCACTCTTTCATAATGTGGAATTGTACATTTTAAAGTGCTCATAATAAACTGCATAAAGAAACCCTAAAACCAGGAAGACTCCTGAGCCTGAAATACAGGCAAAGTTCATTACACATCTTCAAGTCTCCTGCTCCTAACACAAATTTAGTATCTGCTTTACTGCTGTGCACTAGGAATTTTGAGATGACAATGCCTGTCTTCTTCTCTGCCTAGTATTTCTAATACTGTATTTGCCCTTTCCCTTTGTGTTCTCAGACCCAAACTAATACCAAATTGTCTTTTCATCCATTTTAAACTCAGCCTCATCCCCAGAGCCTGCCCACACTAAAACCAAAGTCTGCCTATTGTGATGTAAGAATATAAATGTTAGATAAGGAGAAACAAAGATTAGGGTATTGGCATTTTTCACTGAGGACAGTAATTATTTGTCTAAAAAACTGAATCATCTAGAAAGGTTACTTTTTATTAGGAAAAAAATAGTGGCTGGTTTTTATCATGTGTACATGTATAGACACATATCCACCAGCAGGTGCATGCCTTCACCATGCATTCCACCAAGTGGGTTTTAATTAGACTGAATTTCTTCCAAAAATTTCTTTTCACTCAATGTCTCTCATTACTTACTACAAACAAAAAAGTATGCGAGAAGATAGCACAAGAGCACATGCAGGAATGTTTTTGTGAAACAGTTCTCAAAAACTCAGTGCTATAATTTTACTCATTATCTGTAATGTTCCTGATAAATTGTTCCATGTACTTGTCATTTTTTCATATACATTTCTGCAAAAGATGAAAACAGTGCTCCACTGCAAGAATATAACTATTAATAAAACTTAACTTTACACTAAAATGAGTTTCTTCTCTGTCTTAGAAAATAAAATACAAATACTGATCAATTTGCAACTAAGCTACAGAGCAGCTCCCTATCCAACATACTCCCCACAGGAGATCATTAACATTCCATTTTGAATTAGAAATAAACTAGAAAAAAAAATTCATATTCCAAAGCAAAACTTAGAAGTTACTTAATACTTTCTCTGTATCCCATACTTCTAACTTGTTTACTTTTCATGTGAAGAGAACTGCCCAACAGGGCCACCAAAGCTCCATACTGAGTAACATAAAGAAAAAGCCATCATCTTTTCTTCACAAAGGGAAGATTGCTTACCTTACATTCACAGGTGTGTGTGGATGCCAGTGTGGCTGAGCAGGATGTATATTAGGATGATACTGGGGCTGCAAATGGAAACATTGAACCTGGTTAATAAAATCATATTAAAGCTCCCTATTAACTTCTATTTTCCTGAGGTCATGAGGCATATGTTCCTGGTGAACCTTAGAAACCCTACTGCTTCCAACCTTCTCCTGTGTCATTGAGCACATACGTGAAGCCTCTTGGTGATGACCCTGCTCATTAGGACACACTCATGGGACAATGCAAAGAAAATTGCTCTCCTGTTTGACAGACAACCTGGCACATCTAGTGCTTCTCAGAGAAAGCACATAAAAAAAGTCAGCTTTGATCAAAGGTGGAGAGTAAGAAAGGTTATAAAGAGCAGGCTTCAGGAGATCTCCTGTCTTTGGCGACAGGACTTCCTTCTCATATCCATGAGATCTTAAGGAGAAACAATAAAACAAAATCAATGCTGAGAGTTTTAATAAAAAGTGTTAAGACTAAGTTCTCATGTACATACAGAGTTTGGAAGCTTGTTTCTTCTCAGTACTCACTGACTGTCAGTAGCACAGATGAAAACCAGGTAATGTTTTCCCTGGAGTGTATAAAAAAAATCCCAACAGGCATTTGACCAGCAGGGAACTCTAAGTGTTGTGATGAGGGAGGTAATTGCAACTTTGAAATTGTCACGATCACCTACTGTGAGAGGCTCCTCTAGAACAAAAGCTTGCTCATACAGCAGTCTCCTGGGGCCCATCACATTCACAGTCCAAAAGGCTTTAACTTTCACAGGAAGAAAAGGAAGGGAAAAAAGATGGCAAATGGAGTGTACTCAGCTTGCAGAGCATCGAAGAACACAGGGGAAAAAAGAGAAAACTCCTTAACCCCAAAATGGTGCTGTTTATTTCTGACCCATCAGAAAATCTTACCCCAGAGTAAGGAAAGGGGAGCAAAACAGTTGTACAAACTATAAAGAGTTAAAATATTTACCATAAAATATAGAAATGACCACATTTTCCTCTGGTATGCTCTTACCTGGTAGTTATGGACTTCAGGAGTACTTTTAGCACTAAGAGAGAAAAAAAAATGCTCTTATGTAATCAATACATCTACATCACAATGTTCTTTAGTTCAGGGAAGTACTACAGAGAAAATTCATATTCTTAAGGGCATCCTTATTTTATTCAAAATACACACCACAGCAGTTAACTTGTGAAAGAGGGGTGTAAGCTTTTTTTCTTTGCTTTATATTTAAAAAACATGAACAAATTATGCTTGATAAGCTAGCATAAGAGCAGTGAGCAAAAAGGAAGTACGCTTTACTTTAGTCTGATTTCATACATAAAAATAATAAAGGAAATAGATTAAACAGAGGAAGCAGAAGGCCCCAAGAAGAATCTGGAGATGCATAATGAAAAATACCAAAACAATTCATCCCACACCAGAGAATCTGTTTCTATAAATCCTAAAGCAGATATTGTCTTCAAAATCCTTTTAGCCCGAGAACAGCAACTCAGAGGTAGAGAGAAGTTAGCAGTCACTTACCACAGTTGTGCTGCTTTCACAGGATTGTTTGCTTAAAAAGAAAGAAACACAAAATGTTAAGACAAGTGAAATATCAACCATTTTGCAGCTCTTGTTGTTGAGCTGTTATACTATGGCTAAAGTGGATCCTCATACAGACATATTTGCACAAAAGTGCCTGAATTTCAAGTGCAGCCCTGTGCATTCTAGTAATCCTGTGCAACATCACAAAGTATGAGGCAGACACAAATCTCCCTCTGCTCCTGCAAGAGTGAAAACCCTTTAGAGATGACAGCAGACAAGCATATTCTTTCCAAATGCCACAACAGGACTTTTGGCAGAGTATGTTCTGCACAACCAGAACACTTTTTTTCTCATCTTACTGTCGTACCATGCCAATACCATGAAGTCCACTGAAAATCAGAAACTACCCCTTGCAGAAATTTTCACTATTTTACAGAAACCAGAGTATTCACAAAGCTGGTAATGGCCTGTGTCTTACTGCAGGGAACAACGGTAGCCAAAATAGCCCATCAGTTGGGAATCCTGGGAGGCACTGAGTAATCCTGAGGAACAAGGTCTTGGCCTCTGCTTTGGACAGGCTGGAAAGAATGCTGAAGGTGGCAGCTGAGTAACTGGGGTGTATCATCTCTTTTTCATGACTGTGTGTGTTTCAAGAAAACTGAAAAACTTCTCAGAGAGAAAGCGAAAATCCAACTGACTGCTGAATGCAGGAAGTTAATGACAGTCTGTAGAAGTCTCAAAAGGGACTAGGAGAGAATCCACCCTCATGGGCTGCATTTAGGTATAGGGCTTAATGGCCAAAAGATGCATGAAAGACAACAACCTACAGGGAGTTTTTGCATTAACTTAACAAACATGCTGTTCAGCTCTCTAGAAGGCAATCACTTGGGTGTGAAAGAAGCTCTGACTGGCTGCAATGGACATAATTAAGCATAAGACACACTTTCTCTTCTGCCTCTATCTCACAGACAAAAGTACAGAAGCATTGAGACTCAAGGCAAAACCTGCAGTTTTGTTAGATCCTGTTATGGCAAGAATTAAATTTAAAGAATTCATTCTTCCAGTTACAAAATAACCCACACTATATAGCTGACTCTCCTGTCTCACATAACAGCATCTCACATATTTATTAAATTTGCATTTCAGTTAAACAAACTCCTTCCATGTACTACAGAAGGAAGCAAGGGGAAGAGTAACAGCCTCTAAAAAGCATGCATGCTTGTCACCCTTTCTCCCCCCACTGTAAATGAGACAAAAATGTCTCCATAATACCACAAGGGCTGCTCATGGAACTGTGGGTTATATTCTGGGAATGCAAACGAGTGCAAAGACATTCTAAGGGAATGTCATCTCACTCTACTGTGTATGGCAGCCATACATGCAGGCTCAAGTAATACAGAATTTGGAGAGGGTTATCTTGCAGTGCTCCTTCCTAGGAAGAACAAAAAGCTCAAGCTTTTTCTACATTGAGCAAAAAGCTCAAGTTTTTAAGGACAAATTACAAAACCAAAAGGGAAATGAATTCCTTGTCATTCCATTTCAATTCAACACTTCTCAATTCCCAGGGCAAGCTAGTTAAGGTCAGAGTCTGGACAGGTGAATAACATGTCATTACAGTCACGAAAGGCACAACTGCATAATGAGACTGCCCAATAACCCTAAAATTGTCTGACTAGATAAGAAAATCAGCAAGGCTTTTAGACACTGCTCCACCTCACATGACACAATTCTTCAAAAGCAATTCTTCAAAAAAACATTACTTGTTTTGCCTTAGTGGGTTTTATGAAATTTTTCTTTCCTCCTCAATAGAGCAACAAAAGAAACCATAGGTACCTCCTCCAGAGAAGGAGGTGGAAGAATTAATTGTACATAGAGATTAAATCAGAAGAGCGAAACAACAAACTCTGTCGAAAAAAGGTCCATGCACATTCTGATTTTTTAGGTGATCTGACATACTCCTCTTTTTATACGGCGGTACAGATATCACGATTGTGATGCGACATTTAAAGGATTTAATGGGACACCTGCATGACCGGTTCAGTGCACAGATGCCTGCAAACACTTACCCTTGTAAGTGGAATGCCTCCGAGAAGGGTATCTCTTGCTGGGCCTTCTTTCAAATGTACTAGTTCTGCGTAATCTCGTCCCGTGTGTTGCTTGATATTCTGTCCTCCCACTTAAAACACAGAAATAAACAAAGTAAACTGCTGCCTTCTGCTGGAAGCTGTACCTGCTCCGTTGTATAAATATATTGCTGTTACTTCACTAAATACCTGAATCTGAAGCGTGATCCCAGCCTTATGAAGTCGGATCTACTAGATTTACTATTTGCTGGGGCTCGCAATCTGAAGAAAGCATGGTGCTCCACCGCACACTTCCACAAATGTTTGCACGTTTTGGCACTGTCTAACCGGAAAACAAATGTGTGCTCTTGCTCTCTGCCCTAAATGCAGAAACAAAAGCTTTGGAAGTTGGCATGCATGATATTAGTTATTGTCCTTGGTAGGAGAAACACAGCCTGGGCCAACAGTGTGCTGAGCCTCCCTTGTGTTCTTACCAGCCTGAGCACACATCACACTGTGTTGGATCAGGCCCAAGTAAGGGAAAGAAGTTACCTGTTCATCATCTTCTACAACCACGAGCGTTAGTTTGCTCTTTTTAAAGTCCATTTTTGTGATTTTAGGCCTAAACACAAGAGTCAAAAAGAAGATAATTAAAATAATATTAAAATAATTTTTTTCTACGTCTATTTCACATTTGAGAGCGGTACTTCTAACCAGGCTAATCTACCTTCAGATTTAACCTTCAGATTTTAAACTTTGTAGATTCAATTATAAATTACAAGCCAAGATCCCATTATGCAAAGAGAAAGATTTCAGCATTTTAACTAAAAGGAATATAACACAAAAGCAGATTACCAAAAGAATAAGCCTATTTTGTTGGCTCCTTCAAAGATCAATATGCCTGTTGGTGTCAGTCCAAGAGCATATTCACAACCATCTCTTCCCTGCAAGCAAGTACAGAATAAATAATCAATCTGCCATGAGCAGTGTAAACCTTAATACAGTAGTATTGCAAAATCCATAGGTTTTAAACTAAACAATAAAGTTACCATACTTTTTTAACATTACAGAGCAGAAGAATACGCATCTGTATTGAGTGCAAAGTGGCATATTTTGGCAACAGGAGGCTGCAAGTTGCCCTTTGTGGGAGGAGGCCATGTGCTGCTCAAAGTGGCTCCGAGACCCATGGAGATGGACCCACGCCAACACTGTATCCAGGGCAGCCCACACCCCACCTCACCTGTTTAAGAGCAGGCAGTTCCTGCCAGGGGAAGGAGACACAATAGGAAGAAACTGAGGGACACAGGAAAAGGCATGTGGAAAGGGATGCTGTGGGAGCACAGAGCAGCACCCTTAGGAGGAGTACTGCAGGTGGGAATGACTTCTGAGGGACCATGGGACAACCCAGACCATAACAAGGACACTCCTCAGGGACTGACCCACACCAGGGCAGGGACCTGACACTGATAAAACACAACATCACATGGATCTTACCTTAACTACATGCATATCTACACCATACATTTCTAGCCATTTAGCCTTGTTCAAGTAGCACAATTCAGCCTGCGCTGGGCTCTTTCCCCTGCGAACATAAAATTCATACTTTATGGTCAAAAATTTTTGTCCACTTTAAATGCTTTCAGATTCATTCCCCTAACCCTCTTCTTTGTGTCCCGAATCTTAATGACACTAAATGGTATTTCAAGCTTAGCTTATGTTTTTACCCTCTTCCCTACCAAATGAAAATAAAACAGAGGACTGAAAATGCAAAAAGGTCTAAAATTGCCAATAAGGATGAAAGTTCAGGTAACAAAACATCACTAAAATATAACATATTTATTAACAAAAGACAGGAAAATGAGTTTGCTAACACCCTGAACATAAAATTTATGTTTGCATGAAAGAAGGGGAGAAAGGGAGAGAAAGAGATTTATTTCCAACATAAACAGGAAAAAAAAACCCCTCCTTAAATTATTACAAAATAATCTAAAGAAAAACCATTAATAAATTAAAACTCACCCCACTAACCTTCCCTAAATTAATGCCTGCCATTTCTAGGGAAGGCAAGGGCTCAAAGACTTTTTACAATACTTCTCCACTGACAAACATAATTCCCATTTCATGCCTGTTGAAAGGATTTGACTTTAGAAGAGAAGAAAACCTGTTGCTAGACACCCCACTCCCACACAGGTACTCTACCTGCACTCTTTCCATTTCTGAAAAATGTCAAATTCCATTGCTTCAGTCTGGTTTGGTGCAAACCTGAATTCAGACACGAGCTCTGGTGTGTGCTCAGGGTGCTCACACTCTCCCAACTCAGCTGAAATCAATCAATTGAGAAATTAAAAACATAAAGATCTTGGGATGACCAGAAATATTTAATTCCATTATCCCTACAAAGACAAGGATAGTTTGCGAATTCCTAAGCATATTGCAGAATGCACTTGTGTCAATGCTTTAAGTTAACATCCCAGCCCCCCACTCCTGGCCCCAGTAAATTCAAACCAGACTTTACAGCAGAAGTCAGATAAATCCATTTGCAGGAGCAGAGTAAGGTTGTGGTACAGAATTCTGACCTTCAGGAATGTTATAACTGAACCAGATCAACTAAATCTGATTCTCTGGATTTTAAAGCACTTATAGGAAATAAAGTTTCTATTAAAAACAATCATCAATGCATCTGCTGTTTTAGAAGTGGTTACTTTGAAACTTCCTCTCGTTGCATACTTTTCACTCCCTAACACTTCCCATTCTATTGCATGTGTTGTTATTTTTCCTGGTTTAGGACAAATTTAGGAGTTATGTTTCTGTTCATGTAAAAACATGAAGGAAATACCTAATCTCATTAAACCAGTGATAAAGCTGTGTGGTTTTTAAAATCACAGTAGTAGTGTAATATTCAAATTAATAATTTTTAAGGAAAATTGCTGAAACATGAACATAATTAAAGTGTCACTTTCTACTTATATGCTTAGGCTCTGGTGTTTTCTTTTCTAGGAGCAGAGCACTTTCCAACTCCACTGAGCTCAGCAGGAGCTGCAAGTGCTGAGCATTTAAGTGACTGACACCACTGACTGCCTTGTGTCTGTGACAGCTTTGCTCCTGGAGCCTCTCAGATGTATTTAGAGGCTGCAGCGTCACTGCCTAGGACTGTGTGGCAAGCATCAGTGGAAAATACACTCTTCAGCAATACCATGTGTCACCTGACATATGATGTGATTCCCAACCAGGCCTTTGTCAGTCAGCGTTTCTTAACTGTTTACTATTTTTACTACTACTACCAAAAGAAAAATAAAAATGAAAAAGCATTGAGGGAAACTAAATCCCTTGAAGAAAACAGTTTTATTCCTTCAGGGCGCTTTTACACTTAACAGCTGCAAAAATTTCAGTCACAGCCAGACTTCAAAAATACTTAACAGGATCCATCAGTAGATAGGAAGTTACATTCAAAATCCAATCTGTTGGCTGATAACACCTACTAGGTGGTTTTGAGAACTCGAGCTTTGCTGAAACATTCAGCAGTCCTGAGGATATTAAAGAGATTGAGTTCATTTGTCTTCATTTTTAATTACTGTCTCACACACACATTTTACTCTCAACAGTAATCTTCCATAGTGAGTTACAGTATTCTTATCTCTGTTAAAGAAAAGGACATACAGATATCACAGCTCTGTGTCTGTTTCATCAAAGCTGGAAGCCTATTTAACCAGATATTAAGAATTACTGGCAGTCCAGTCTCCAGTATATAAGCGGGAGCCACAGCAAACACATTAGCAAGGAGGAATTCAAGGGGATAGAAAAAGGTATGGATCTGAAGTCTGATGTGTTTCCAACCATCCAGGAAAAACATGGGAGATTTCTCTACCAATTAACTGAGAGAGAAAGCAGGCAACATAGGCTGACTGCTGTAAAGAAGATGTATAGGGATGAGAAGAATCATGAGCTTGTAGGACAGAAGACGCACAGAGAGGCTCAGCAGCACTAATATTTTGAGATGCAAGGGCACAGCACAACACCCATCTCTTCATTTCTGCCTTGATGACATGCTTTGGCATGCCCCTTTTTGGCACTTTTTTGGGGGGAGGGTGGAAGCTGGGGCATGTGTTACATAACACATGTATATACATTGTCAGTGTTCTTCAAAAGTAACCTGGGGAACATTTTCAAAAGGATGTTTCCTAGAAAGTTTTTGAAAACTCCAAAAATATTTTAAAATAAATAGCTCATTCTTTTATACAGAGGAAAATAAAGTTTGCAATATTCCATGAAGATGTCTTATGATTAGAACTGAAAACTGGAGATGTGAGAAAATGTTTTCCTTTTCAATATAATTAGCAGCTTCAAAAATATATCTGGTTAAACACTAAGACCATATAACACTAATGATGCAGTTAAAAACTAACTGTAACAGTGAGAACTCAAATTTGATGATAACATTTTTCCACAGATAGCCCCTAAGTGAAGCCTAATATTACCTATCTGCTTCATATGTTACCCCATATACTACAAACCAATGCTACTTGCTACAGCATTTCCTTCATGGCACTGGCAACAAATCAACACTTTGTTTGAAAGATGATTCACAAAAAAAAAAAATCAACCTTGGAAATTGCTACTGGAAACCAAGAATTATTTTAACAGAAAAGTCCCTTGATAAAAACACATGTATGAAAATTAAAGCTTATCTGTGAAAAGACTTTTCTTTCAAAGGGCTCAGACTACTGATGCCTAAATAGCAATTCATTGCTTTTTCCTCGCTCTTAAGAAAGGCAGACTAAGGAACAAGACTGCATTTTACAAAGAAAATGCAACTCATTGAGGAGGGGAATAATTGAAATTTCTTTATACTTTGCTGCTTAATTATGTTTTCAATGTCAATAAAACATAGCAAACTTTACACCAAAAATGCTTATTATTATGCATGTCAGCAAAGAGAATGAATGAGTTGCAATAATGAAATAATTCTGGACAAGCTTATTGAAATGATGTCAAAATAGTGGAAAACTGAAACAGGAAAAAAAAAAAAAAGACAGCAAAAAAGTATAAAAGCATGTTCCCACAGACAGCATCAAAGAGTATTAGTTTTGGTAGATAGCTGGACACATCATAACCATGATGGACAGCTATTGTATTGCATTTACACAGTAATCACAGGTGTCAGCTGTTACCCAAAATGTTGAGGCATCAACCTATTATTCTTTGCTTGGTCCTCCTTGCTTGGACCAGGTGTGAGGCTACCAGAGTTTTTTTTTATGTGGAAACGTAAGCAACAAATCAAATCTGGGCTCTGCATTTCCTCCACCTCAAAAAGCCAAAGGAGTCTGCCTGCAGCAGTTCTTTGCACACCTGACAATCACAGTTGTGCCACCTGGTGCAGTAAAACAATGCCTTAAGATTTACACCTGTTGCTGCTTAGAACTGAATTCCCAGTTTTTCCTGTCAAACCCATCTAGAATCACTGAGTTACTTCCAGTGCTGGATTAAACTAAGAAACTCTGCCTAAGCTCTGTGTGCCATGGCCCAACCACCAGTGAAACAGGAAGAGAATTTTTCCATTTCAATTAATGTTGCTGCTGATTTGCTTAGAATGGTCCAGCTCACTGCACTTTCTTTTAGAAAAAAATGAACTTGATTTGAGCTTCATTATAAAAATTTTCTCCCCATCTGCAAAACAAATTTCTCAAAATGGAACAAATATTTGTATTAACATGCTTGCAGCAACAAAAAACCCACGTTGTCGTACAATAATGTAATGAAATCCAGTGTACTGGAGTTGCTTTTACATGGTGAAATCCGTGCTCCTGCCACAGAAGTGATCTTAGTTCTTACCCTCCCGTATAATTCTCTCCTCTCTAGTACCTGCCACTCCTTCCCTCCTGCCCTGCAACCATCTCCTGAGTCACCCACTGTGGAGGCTGCCTCTCAAAGGCACTGTTCAGGCAGCAGGAAGCCCAAATTCACAGGCACCCACCTCCCACAAACTGTGTGAAGGGCCAGCTGGCTCTTCAGCCTCAAGTGCTAGTACTTGTGCACACACCACAGCTTCTCCCTCAGTAGGGAGCTATTTTGGGTCCTTCTTCCCTGATCAGCCCTGGGTTTCCAGGAAACCTTTGTCTAGCCATGCTTTGAGTCTCCCCCATATCAGGTGTGCTGATATTGGCTAATATAGTTCAGAAGTTATGAATGCAAGTCAAGAAATGGATCTCCCGAAAATTTTTCTCCTTGGGTAAAAGAATGGCATTTATATATGATCAGTAAGAATGCATTAGTAACAAAAGAAAAGAAACCAGTAGGTGAGTTTTTTAATAAATTAGGACAAACCACTTTCAAAAGATTGCATACCTTGAAGACACAGAGCTGCTAGTTCAACAGCAGTTTCATATGGGCATTTCAGTCTTAAAAACAAAACAAAAAACGAAACTATAAAAATCATGTCTCTTGTCAGTGAATTCCTCTTGCAATAAAGCTAAAAAAAAAGCCTGACATGAAAACTGGAAACATTAACTTCCACAAATTACGAATGCTATGAAACATCTACAATTGTTACTTGTATATGATTATTTCCTAAGTTGGTACATTCTGATTTGCATTAAACATTATACACTTCACCATAAAACAAGAGCTGGCAGAGAAAAAACTACATCAACTAGGGGACCAATTTTACTTTAACACTCTATTTTAGAATATAACGGTTTGAAGTTTTTTTGTTTCTGTAATTAAAAAAAAAATAGGTGTGAATGAATATTGGTCAGGGTAAGACTATAAAAACACAAAGTATTTTTTCAGCGTTGACCTGAACAAAAATTGTTGTACTTCAACTTTCTCATCCTCTATTTCACCCTTCATACAGAAAAAATGTGGCAATCCCATGTTATTTTTCAAGTCATAAAACCCAGGACTGTTTTCACTTTCTTTAAACATTTTCATCACCTGATCAATCCATCAAAATCTTTACCCATTCTATTTGTCAGTAATATAGTCATGATACACACAAAGTCCTATATGTCTGTATTCTAAAGAAAACCAAAATTCACTAGGAGATTAAATATTATAAATTCTTTCAATTACAGCTGCAAGTGTAAAAAGGTACTTACTTCCCTGAAAGAATGTCCTGCCGGAGCTGTAATACAAACAGGTACCTGACAAATAAAAAATTCAGAAAGTCAAAAGTAATTACAGTGGCATCCTTCTAGTTCAACTGGCTGGAAGAATATTCCAATTCATTGAGTAGTAACAGCAATTTGAATAACTTGGTCTTTACAAAAAAAAAAAAAAAAAGGCCTTTGGGACCAACATATACACCCTGCAAGCTTCAAAGCTCCCACAGCTTTCACTAGAATCATGAGAAGAACATTTTTTGTCCACTGGTTGTGTTCAGGACATTGTCCAAAGTCGTGCTGTTTAGGATGTGCTCTGAGCATAGACCACAGCAATCTAAATGCTACTAACACTGCAGTGTTCTCCTGAACTTGGGTCTTACCTAATTCAGGCAGGAATCGAACTACAGTATCTAGAAACAAAACACAGATAAAGGCATGTAGGCTTCAGGGCTGCCTTCTCATACACAAATACAGCACATGGAAAAAGTCCAAACTGGGCAAAAGGAAAGGTTCATACCAGAACGTCACTTAAAAATAGCAGAGAAGTTCCAAATAAAAGCTCCATAGAGCTCACACATTTATTTAATATGCCAAGTAGGAATTTACAGCCTTCAAACTGTCGTTGTATTTTAAGTTGTTGCTTTGCTAATCCTTAGTTCTAGGCACACTTCACTGACACCACTCGGAGCTGGGTTCTGAGGCATGCACAAGTGCCCTGGGTCATGCAAGGGCTGTGTGGAGGACAGGAAGGCACAGAGAGGCTCTGCACTGCTCTGGACACTGTGGGGTGAGGCTTGCAAAGATGAGTGACTCAAGAGAAGAAAGCATGAAGCACTCCTGAGAGCACAGTAAAAGCAAACACAGACCTCTCCTGCCTTTACAAAAGATGCTGGAAAGACAAAAGAGGGTTTTTTTCATCACAGAGAATATGGAGTGAATGTGGCAAAGGAAAAATAGCTGGAATCAGACAGGGAAAACAGAAATGAAAAGGAAGATTTAAGATTTCTCATGATAACACTGGAGCAGAATCAGATTTATCCATGTTAGCTCTTTGGTACATTCACATACTTGGCTAATACCTGACTGTCAACCAAATCTGGCTATTTGCATGTGCAGATTAAAGGTAAACAAGTATACATCCTGCCCTTATTGATAGGCCAGATGATTCACAATATCATGAACTCTTCTAAATTTGCAAGAATTTGGGGCAGTGTACCTATGAGTTTCAGGGGGTTTGTGCAGTGCCGCAGCCCCGCTCTGGTCGGTATGGCTTACCCGTGTTTTCTGTGTGCAAGCTGACAAACACTGGCATCTCAATTGTTGCTACTCCAAATCAGCAAGATACCCTAGAAAATTCTCCACAACATACAAGTACAGACTCGTTCCTCTGTTGTCCTTCTAACTAAACTAACTAATCAGGTTGCACACAAGTGAGAGAAGCTGTCTTCCAAAATGCACTGTATTTAAACTGTGTTTTTATACTGAAAAAATGACAGAGCAGGTGAAGGGTTTTGATGCTTCCCAATACTGTGTTAATTATGAGAAAATGATCTTTGTAGCTTTACTAGAAATTGAAGTCTACTAGAAAGCAGATCTCCAGAAGGAATTCTAAACACCCTCTACCTGGAAAGTTCGCAGTTACTGTGAAGGATGATTTTTCTTCCGCTTGGAATGATTTTGAGTATACAGTTATTAATCTTCACTTTTCACTCACCATGCTACATGGAAAATATGATACAACTAGCATAAAGACTCTTAAAAAACCTCCACAAATTAAAATAACTAAAAATTTAAGAATTATAAAATGCTTAAATTCAAAATTACTTCCCCCCCGCAAAAAAAAAGAGCCCAAATTTTTCTTTCAGTTTCACAGTGGTCTTCTGTCAAACTTATAATTAAAGGAAATTGTTCACAACACTGAATATTTAGCTGACTAAAGTGTTTTTCTAATTAAAACAGTCTTCTGAAATGTCACATTTCAGCAATAATTAGATCACAAGGCATCAGAGATTAATACTTTTAGACAAAATGTCTTCCTTGATCACAGTAATGATCACATAGCTCTGAAACCCAATCTCACTGAAACTAGGATCGTATGCTTCAGAGCACTAAGCAAGAAATCTTGTGGTAGACAGTAATGCCATAATTTGACCACAGGGGAAATGTAATACTTCTCAGACACGCACCCTGATGTATGAAGACTTAGATCAATTTCCAGAAAACACATAATATTCCTACTAATTTAACTGCATTTTCTCATTAGAGATATCCATAAATCATCCTGATTTTTGGATTCTCTTAAGATCTTATACTCAGCTATATAAGTGGCAGGGATTTCTTTAAGCTAATTATACGTTCTATAGGGATATGCCCTTTTATTGAATTATCACTGCTGGACTAAATTGATAATGAATATTGAAGACCCTATATCTATATCATGAGGTGGTGACAATTAGCCCTTTAATCTTGTCTCAGGCAGTGAAAAAAACCCATGGTCGGCACAGCAGACAGCAAGGGAGACAGTAATCATTTGTCTGCAGGCATAAGTTTAATGTAAACATCACATGCACATGAACTACAACAATCAACCATCTTTAAACACCTTAGGCTGATTAGGAGTACACTGATTATTGCCAAGCAAATTAGAAGACACAGAAAGAGCCCTACGGTGAGAAGCAGAACAAAAGGAAAGATAAAATAAATAACATTAAGATAGATGACTACTATACAGAGAAGACACAAAGTAAGCAGGTACAAAAGATAAGTACATCCTTTCCTACAGCTACTCCTTTCCCAGCTTTCAGAATATCCTCTGAACCAAGGTGCTGTGGATCCAGCAAGGATCTACAAAAAATAGCCCAGCAGATTGAAACTAAAGACTTCCAGATATTTGTAGAGTGACTTTATGCAATGCAGACTTTTGCTTTACAGAGAACCATGGGGAAGCAGAAGTGATTCAATCAACTCTCAACCCAGAGCTCAAGCTGGCTATTCCCACAATTCTTTACCCTTGGTACCATTATTAAATCATCCCCAAGTCTCAGGCCAGGAGGAACAAAGCAGGGCACTGGCATTTTAGCAGGACATAATGGAAACCCCTCTCAGAGGATAGCAGGTGTCTGTAGCTTTCCCCACCCAACAGTGTCTTTCTTTGCCAGCTTCCAAACACCAGAACACAGCATCTCCACAGCATTGGAGAGGCCCATGAATGCTTTCTGGCAGCAAATAAAATCATGATGTTCCTCTGACAGTAGGAAAACGCCTAAGAAGGCAGACAAAATGGGAATCTTAATAAGAAAGCGCAAACCACCTGCTTGCACGTGCCTTAGATGTCTTAAATCCCCCATCAGCCACACATAGTTCCTACCTTGTAAACTCTTCGTGAAGGTTGTTCGGTTCTGATGAGTAGTACTTAATTCGAAAATGCAACGTGTACGGAGGTCCAACTGCACATGCAGAGATTTTAAATGGGGAAAAAAGGTTTATACTCGTTGCAGTCCTCTTAAGGCAGAACAGTCCCCACACCACGCCACAACCCAAGAGACCCAAAATGCATTACATTTTTCAAATACATCAAAGAAAATATTTTTTTTAATTTAAAAATGCACGCAATAAGCAAAAAATATGATTACCATACTTTTTGATACTCATTAATGCAAATTTATCAAGGCAATCATCCATTTAGCAAACACATTTTTTGTCCAAAGAGGGGTGCCTCACAGCACGCTGTGAATGACAGCACTTTCCAAGTACATTCCCTGTTGCTGGGCCCAGGGGAAAACGGAAGAAAGAGGGAAGGAGAGGGTGGTGCTCTCTTTGCCAGGCACATACACTACTCAAAAAAAAAACCCTACCCAAAAGATTGGCTTTCGATTGAAATACATCAATTTGAAAAGATAAGATAAATAGAACGGAAAAGTGCTGGGGAAGACTCTGAAAGGCATCTACAAATACAGAAAATTCCATGGGATTGCAAGAATTGTGTTTTCTAATGTCAGAAGGTGAATGCTACATGACTTCCTGTGTAACACAGAAAATAGGAAGAAAGTTATCCAGCTACCATGAAACTGTGACCAATGCATCCTTATCTGCCTAACCCTCATCATCCGACCAACTGCCTGCTGATGTATTAACTGATGGAAAAATTACTTTTCCTCCCTTTTCAAAGGTCTTCTGTAACACCACATCAACAAACAAATGTGCCCATTAATAATCCTTCTACTAAATGATATGCAGCTAAAAGTCATATAATTAGAGCTTTGATTCTGTCTCCATTACAGCTCCCATAAGTCGGGTTATAGCACCCTGAGCTCATAGCTTGGCACCACTGGTGAGGTCTGCATAGGTGAGAGAAGGACTTGGCAAAGACAGCAGTCAGCAACATCCATCATGAAAGAGGAACTCTCCACAAAGCATCTGCTGAATTCAAGGTAAAGGAAAGTAACCTGTTGTGAAACAGACCTTTACAACACCCAATAAACTGCTTCCCTCTTCAGCATTCCTCAGAGCCAGGACTGGCCAAATTATTTAAAAACAGGCCCTTCACACATTAAAAATAGACAAAATCACCTGGATGAAGGTGTTACAGAATCACTGATCTTCCAGGACAAAGATATTAGAGAAAGTGCAGCTGCAAATCAGCTAGCCGCTTAAGGTAAAGCAGTCTGTGATGGGATGAAAAGGGGAGAGAAAACCAAACAGCATAAACCTTACCCATTGCAGCTATCTTCACCATGGATTCCAGCAGGCTGATACCCACACACCATGGGGTGACAGCAAACTATTCTAAAGGCTTTTGAAGAACTCCACTCTTTACAAAAATCATCTAGATACTTGGGGACTTGTCAGAAAGACAGGCAAAGCACCACTGATGCAATCGCAACCTATCTCTGTGAAGTCCTACAAGTTGGTCAAAAATTTTCTTGAAAAACACATTTTAATCACACTGAAGCCATGCTTTCATGGCCCATGACTGTTGCGAACTGCAGTATTGTAACAACACATGTTAATGCCAATGCTGTACTGTACCCAAGCCTGCAACCAGATTACCAAAAATCCAGGAGCTAATTCCCTGCCTTAGACAATTTTCACAGAAAACATAGTCCACCAACCCCTCCATCCAAAACTACCTTTGATGAAACAGCAGCTATTTCAAAACTACATTTGACAAAACAGCAGGTATTTCTGCTAGTTTAACTTCTAAAATAATAATCTGGGAAAAAAATTAAAAATTAATCATTACACAATGAACTATTTTCCATTCACACTCTGAAAGAAATTGCAGGATATCTGTTCTGGATCAGAAGCAGTGACAGGAACTGCGATCCGTGTCCAGGCAACCTAGTTTCACAGATCTGACTGAAATTACCTGGCAACCTTCTCTGCCTTAGACAAACAGCACAGGTTTAACAAGGGCTTCTGAAGGCTGGGCTACTGCTTAATAAGGCTCTTGCCTTTATCCATAACATAGTCAGACAATTACCCATTAAATTAAAACTATTTTCTAAGGAATATTTATTGTATTAAAGGCCAAATTTAAACATTCTCTATCATGTTCTAATACACTAAGTTCAAATTCTTTAGGAAGTAACAAAATAAACAGTCAGAGACATAGTACTTACTTTTTATTTGCTTCTTAATGAATTTTGAATGGTCCAACCAGTGCTAAAAAAAGAAAATCCACACTTAGAAGCAGTTCCATTTCAAGATTTTGTTGACTCCATAAAGTGATTACAATAAAATATAAAAGATAAAAATTTCTTATAAAGAAATATTGCCATATTTATTTTCTAAACTTCTGCATATTGGTGAAAATGTTTATTGGCACATTTAATAACTTCCCTTCTTCCACGTGGGAAAGCTTGATTTTTAAATTTATCAGTACTGCCAGGCAAGCCACTCTTCCAGAGAAGAAATTCAAAATGCAAGGCCACAAAGTAAGGAAGGCACCCTTTTGCCCCAAACCCCTGAGTTTCAGCCTCCTCTAAACCTCTGTTTGATGGAGACCCTCCAGAGCCTGTACTATCCTGCATTCCACTGCTCCATAGCCAAGTTTTTTCAAGGTAAGGATGGAAACTTAACCCCATTAAAAGCATTTGGGAAACACTGATGTATAACTCACCCCTTCCTTTTTAAACTAAGGCAGGAGATCTGGAATAGTGCAACGATGATGACAAAAACATATGATTCCCAGCAAAGTTTACACACTCTCTTGTCAGTGTAAGCTGCATCTACAGAAAGGCAGCAATAAACACAATCTGGTATAAATTTAGCTTAAATCTTTGACAGTCTCTGCTCGATGTCCTACAGAAGGCTGCAATCTTATTTGAAGCAACTCCATGTAAATGCTTCTGTCATACAAAGTGGTGAGAGAGCCTTGTATTTCTTTGAAATAAGTGTTTTTCTATCTTTATATATATTTTAAAATTATAAACTAGCTACTATGAAACAATATCTTAGGAAAAAATTCTCTTCCTTCTTTCCTATTAAAGCATTAATGTTTTCAGAAAAAGGATAATCCCTCAATGACTGCTTATTGTTACACCACCACCATGCTACTATGGCTGAATAAATGTGCAAAAGTATCTGTTGCCTAGTAATACTGGTATTTATTTACTAAATATGTTCAAAACCAAGGAAAAAAATTTATCACAAGTACAGATGTGTACAGATCAAAAGTCTGACAGCTTACGAGCCTTAAGGTGTATAAATCTCACAAGAGGGAGAAAGAGAAATGGAACAATGATTCTGAAGGTGATTTTATTTGCAGGAGACTTGCAAGACTCCCTTAGGTGAGGCTGCCAAGAAATCAATTCTTATAATCCCTAATCTGGTAGAAATCTCTACCAGAATGGAAATAAAACATTATACCAGCTCATATAAATACATTCCTTAGAGTTGCAAGTAATTTACTTTGTCTCTGTTTTGCTCTCTTATAAAAAATTACAGTTTTGTGACATCTCAAATTTTTGATAAGAAAAAAAAATCAGCATTGAAACTTTGCCTTTTTTTTTTTTTTTTTACTGAAATTATATAAATCTGTCACTTTCACAGCTCCAGGGCAGATTCATTTTTTATTCTTCAAAGACCAGCTATGAAAATGTCTTTCCATTCAATATTTATCTTGGCTAAAGAAAAGCCTCTCAAAGACAAATATAATGAATGCATTAAAAGAAAAGTTTAGCTTCATGTAAAAAACATCTATAATACATGGCAAAACCTCCTGTTAGTACCATGTTCTGGAACAAGCATGGCACAACCTGAACTATAATAATTCCCAATGAAAAAATAGTTGATAGTCCCTTTTCATGGCATGTGGTCTTTAAGGTACATTAAAGCTCAAATAAGAGTAACTTTCAAACTGATTATTTGCAAGTGCAAATACTTCAAATAATGGCTAAAAAAATACCTAACAAGACTCCAGGAACTGCTTGTGCAGACCATTAACTCAGACAATGGCTTAGATAGGAAGCTATCATCACTCTCTGTACCTAAGCTGCCAGAGGCAGACGTCTCCAGGAGATAAAGCAAAGCAAGCATTAAAGTCACCTCTCTTCACAAGCAAAAGTGAGCTGCTGTTTTACCCCCATCCTGCACTACACATCAAGCGTGTGATGTGCCACCACACCGATCATAAACACAAAGACTGAGGTAAGGCATGGACTGACAGTATTATTGGCCCAGAGCTCCCAAGCCTGGAAGTTTTTGTGCAGATTTATGAACCAACTCCAGTTTCAGAATCAGATATTTTGTGCAATTTCTGTGAAAATCAGGCTGAATTTTAACACTCCTTTGCTTCAGATAATGTCAGAAGGCTTCTTCACACTGTGTACTGCACCAGCCTTCCAAATGTCCCTCTGAGCTGAAAAAATAATCAAAGCATTCTAGCTAAAGCCTAAAATAGGTTTGGGCTTGGCTACATACTGCTTGCTGACTCAATTAGAGGGAAGTGAAAGCATGAAATCTGAAGTCTCTCTAGGAAGCTGAATAAAACCAGAGGAGCCTTGCTCTTCTCTCAGCATCTAAGACTGTATCTTGCCTATCCTGTGCTCTGGCTAAATGATCATACATAATTTCAGGATCTGCACCCACCAAAGAAACTTAACTATGAATTCTCACAGTGTAGGTCCAAGACTGACCGGAGTAATTTCAATCATACCCCATCATAATCCCCATATCCTGTTCAGACATGGAAATATCAGTGCAGAACAAGGAGAAGGAAAGAGATAAATTGCTCTAGGACCGTGTTACGATAGGAAGACAGTGCCTAAGCTGCTTTTCTTCTTTTAAGGGAAGAAAAACTCAAACCTAATCAAACTGCAGGTAATCAGAATTCTATGATTATGCTAGAACAGAACAAGTAGTTCAGCTGGAAGGGATCTACAATGACCATCGAGTGCCACTGTCTGATCACTTCATGTCAAGAAGTAGTCTTAAGACCACTTCTCTTAAGTGTCTTAAGACTGACAGGCTTGGGACATCAGTTACTCTAGAAGTCTGTTCCAGTGTTTGACAACCCTCTTGGTAAAGAAATGCTTCCCAATGTCCAGTCTGAACCTCCCATGATCCAGTTTTGAACCATTCCCATGCATCCTTTTGCTGGATACCAGGGAGGAGAGCTCAGCACCTTTCTCTCCACGTCCCATCATCACCTGCAGAGACCACTGTGCTCTCTCCTTTAATTTTGTCAGGTAAACTGGAAGGTCAAATGCTAGATTAACTTCCATTCAGTCCTCTTTAATCTCAGCAAAATTTCTTTGCTCTATCAAATGAATTATGCTTCCTATGGTATTAACTGACATAACACAGTAGCCATTGACTGGGATTCGTGTTGAAAACAAACACCAATCAATTCCACATGAAAGAAGTACCATATAAAAAATAATTTTTTAAAATACTGGAAGCATGTATTTAGCTCAGCATAGTCTCCTGTTGATTACAACTTTATCAAAGTGAAGAGGAAAAAATAAGTAGCTCAGCATTTCCTAATGGCTGTAGCCAATATTTTCTCAAAATAGATATACAGCATGGGAAGGATATATTTGTGTCAAGATACAACAGATAAACTACAGCTGCTAAAGCAGTCAGCTTATAATGACCATGAGTGCCAAATGAGGACTGAAAGGAGGATTTTCACAGGCTGACACCATCTCATCACACACCTGATCTTTGCAAATTCCACTACCTCTCTACTTGCTTCCTAAAAGAATGAAAATTCCTTGTCTTGATTAATACAGCCCTCAAAGGTGACCTGAAAAGGAAAAAAATTGCATTTAACCCTTTTTGGTTGGCTTTCTTTGCTAGTTTAAAATGCATGAAGAACATCTTGAATAGACTGTTCTCCCTTATGCTTATTTATATATTTAACTATCAGTAAGAGGATGCCCATTTTTACTGATATTTGTATTTGTCCTCTGAAAAATATCAGTTGAAAGCTTTCTCAAGTCATGCCTAGAGGTACAAGAGAAAGACTCATTCTCAGTGATCAAGTTCAGAAAAGATGGTGTGCTAAACAAAAGCTGGCACCTTTAAAACCAAAAGTCAATTATCCCTTCAACTGTCTTCTTGCTTTCTGGTTTCCAAGGCTCCTGAATCCTACCAGGCTGCCTGCCATTACTCACACAACCTTCTAAAGAAGAGAAGTTAAAAATGTATGTATCACATGGAGGAAGGAAACACCAGAAAAATCAAGCCAATAAAAATTCTACCCAGCAAACTACGGTTTGGGGATTTCTCTACATTTACAGATTTAAAAGGGAGCAAAGGAGCAAAAGCCCTCTCTTCTTTTGCGGGACCCTTTTCAACATTATTATGATAGTAACAGAAAACCAAGTGAGAACTGGGGTCATGTAGAAACTCAGGGAGTACACAAACATATACTTAGGAACAGGATAAAACAATTATGTATTATTCTCATGTTTCTCTAATCCCTCCTAGAAAGTTATGCTCCCCTTGAAAAGGAAGGCTCATCAGACTGGTGCCTTCAACGACCTACTGAAAGGCTGTAGAGAAGGTGATTGACACTTCTCAGAGGTATTCCATGGCAGAAAGATGAGTGGCACCAGAATCAGGAGAAATCCCAGCTAGACAGAAAGACTGTCACCGTGAGGCTGTTCAGACGAAGCACAGGTGCCCAGAGGGACCGTGGAGCCAATGTCCTTGAGGGTATCAAACATGACTGAACACAGCCCCAAGAAACCAGATACAACTGAAGCTGCAATGAGGAGCTTGGATAGAGACACCCATTTCAACAGACAAGATCTGCAGGCATTTTTCAGGATACTGCTTTACAATCTCACTGACCCAACTTGAAATTAAAAAAAAAGAAAAAAGGGAATTCTACTTAAGTAGCATTCACATTATAAAACCAAGCTGGGATTAATGAGGTGAACAGTTTGCATTTGGGCTCAGATGAGACCAACTTTTCAGGAAATAGTGGCAGGATTTTACAAGGGTTTCAGTCTCAGCTGGCCAGTTTTGATTTAGACCCTCTTTGGACACTGCAGTCAGCATCTTGTTGAACAGGGCCCCGGCACAGTGGTACAGAAACACATCAACACTGCTGGAAGACCAGCCTGATCCAGGTGCAAAGTTTTATCAGTTTTCTAATTGTCCCTGGTCTGAACAAGGCAGAGCAGTTGCCCTCCAGCAGCCCCCTTCTACTG